TGGGTTAAGTGCTGCTTCAGGCTTGCACATGGAAGAGGAGCTTTCCCTCTAGAGTGGGAATGCTGCATTGCATTACTCTACAGTACCGTGGGAGCCAACTTCTCCCTGTTCATCTGGGTTAAAACCTGATCATTTTATAGAGACCCTTGAAAGAAAAACACAAGTCAGGGGACTCATCAGCAAATGGCAAAATGGTTACATAGTTAGACTCACATGTCGTTGACCATAGTTCGAGTCCTGGACCCAGTGGCTTAAACTCACACCGCACGTCTGTGCGTGCCCAAGATCTTGAGAGGAGAATGGAGGAGACAGGATTGCAGTGTGGCCATCTCCCCCGGGGGCTGAGTTCTTGCTTTCTGTCTCTCTCTGTCTTTCCTGTGAGCAAGCACACACACCCTATATAGCAAAAACCTCTCAAAAAAGAAAAATGAAAAACACAAGTCAGCTCAAATCTGATGAGCACATGTGGTTGCCTTTGAGAACACAAATCAAAACCCTCCTGGGCGAGGTCCTTTCTCACTCTTTCTCTCTCGCTTTCTTTTTCAAGAGTAAGGTGTCCACCGAAACGTCTTTGACTTTGAAATCTGACTTAAGTTCTGAGCTGTGACAAATCGCGGATGACATCGGATTCTTCCTTACTGATAAGGTACACTTGGTGATTTTTTTATCTTTAAAAAGAGCCAACAGTGGGGATGCCAGATGTTGTGTGTACCCCATAATCTCACTCATGCAAAGGGAGTCCCTGTCTCCACACATGGACATGCACTGAACAGGAACAAAGATCCTCTGAAAGTTAACAGCAGCTATTTTTAGATCATGGAGTTACAGATTAGCTTTCCTCTTCATGCTTTTTTCATTCCCAAATTCCGTGTGTGTGTGTGTGTGTGTGTGTGTGTGCTTGAGTGTGGTATTGTTTTAGAATGTCACATGTCACAATCCTCCCTTAACTTCCTAAGCCGCTGGGACTCAGGCTCAGGCACCACCCCTGGCGTTTTGGGATAGGCTGGGAATCTAACCAGGCCTCTGACGTGGGCCAGGCCTGTCCGGCAGCAGTGTTCAGTGTGCGCTCTGCGGCTGGGCCGTGTTTTCCAAGTCCTTTATAAGGAGTATCTTTACAAACAGGAAAAAGAAGGTATTTGAAAAAAGTCAAACCACCTCCGCAGCAGTAGACACTATGCGCTATACATTCAAATATTTGGAACCAGCAGATGGTGCAATGGTTACTTCACTAGACTCCCACTTAATTGGCTGTAGTTTGAGTCCCGGATCCGGTGGCTTAAACTCAGGCCGGGCACGTGTGCGTGCGTGTCCAAAATCCCAAGAGGAGAATGTAGGAGAAGGGACTGCAGTGTGGTCATCCTCCCTGGGGGGTAATTTCTCACTTTCTGTTTCTCCATCTCTTTCTATGTCTCCGGCAAGCACGTGCACCCCATAGCAAAAATCTCTCTAACTAATAATAATAATAAATAAACTCAAATATTTAACAAGGAACTTAAGATGTGAAAGACCAAAAAGATTTTAGGATTTTTTTTATGTCTCCGGCAAGCACGTGCACCCCATAGCAAAAATCTCTCTAACTAATAATAATAATAAATAAACTCAAATATTTAACAAGGAACTTAAGATGTGAAAGACCATCTTTTTAGATTTTTTTTTCTTTTTAGAGAGATTTTTGCTATAGGGCTGTGTGTTCACCTGAGGGACAGAGACAGAGAGACAGAAAGGAAGAAATCACCTCCCAGGGTGCAGACCACAGTGCAATCTCTTCCCCTCCATTCTCCTCTTGGGATTTGGGGCACACATGCACACTTGCCCTACATAGGTTTTAAGTCACTGGTCAGGAATCGAACCTTGGCCAACTACATGGGAGTCTAGCAACACAACCATTACACTGTCTGCTGGTCCTGAAAGCTTTTAGATTTTAAGGGAGACCAGGGACACTGGCAGTCCTTACTGTGTTCTCAATCAGATGTCTAGGACTGTTGTGTCCGCTCTTCTTTCATTTCACTAGTTGGAGGAAACCAGGTTTATGGGCAGAGTGGGCAAAGCCAAGCCCCCTCTGAATGCCTTACCCAATTTCAGAGAAGCGGGGTCAACAGCTCTGCACTTGGGAGGCTAGAAAGATGTGACCTGCGCTGGAAAGGCCAAGTTCTCTCCAACCCGCTGGCTCACAGGAGGCCTGAATTCAGCTCAGAGCTCTGCTGGTCCCGGGTGCCACACCAGATGGGCTGACCACACGCTCCTATCTGCCTTTATAAATGGGGTCTGTGGTTCATCCCCCAGCTCTGGGACTCTGTTTTCCCGGCTCGGTTTTCGCTGGCTGGACAAAAGGGCACGAGTGGGTGAAGTCGGGGCTGGCGCCCACCCCAGCTGTGTCGGCAGCCTGGCCGCTCCTTCCCCGGAGAGGGAGAGCCTCCTACCCTGCCTGCCCATTTCCTCATCCCTCCGCGTGGTTTCAGTGTCCTCCCTCCTGGAGGTGTTGCAAGGACTGACTAACACGGTGAGTGTACCAATAACAATGACGTGTGAGCAGGTGCCCTGAGCCCCAGAGCCACAGCGGAAGGACAATGTGATCCCCTCGAACCCGGAAAGCTGCGGATCTGTCCTGGGCCTAGGGCTTCCCATCTCGAGCTCCGCTGATGTCAAATGCTCCCCCCCACGTTGCAAAAGCAGGCCCAGGGACAGCTTGACCGACAGTCCGAGTAGTTTTCTATCGGAGGAGACCCTTCTCCAGGAAGCCACACCTCGCGAAAGAACGATCCTGAGATTCTCATTTCCCCCAGAAACTGCGGGACCATTGCCTGCGGAGGATGCTTTCAAGTTTCCTCCTTTAGTCCAAAAGCAAAATCCCCCACCACCACCACCAAATTCTCCTCCTCCTCCTCCTCCTCCTCTTTCCTTCGGGCTTTTTTGTTTGGAGCATCTCCACGGTTCTCCCCGGGGTTTCCCGCCTGGTTTCAGGGGCAGCGCCACTCACTCACACCGGACTGTGGCACTCGGGAGCTCAGTCTCTCCCAGACACAGGGCGGCTCCGAAGGTGAGGAGGGCGAAGTAGGCGTTCCCCGGGTAATCAGGGCCACTCGCGCCCACACGGACGGGCGCGGGTTCGCTCCTCCAACCAGGTGTATGTCCCCAAACATCTGGGAACCTGTTGCGTTGCTTCCAGGGGTCAGCCCGGTCCCTGTGCACGGCCTTGGAAACGCCCGGGAGCACCGCGGCTGTGGCGCGGGCGGCGGACCAGGAGGCAGCGGCGGCCGCGGGAAGGCGGGGTTGTCCCTTGCCGGGAATCCTGTCCTGGCTACGGCCTCACGGGAGCCGTCGGGTGCCCTTGGGTTCTGCGAATCGTGGCGCTGGAGACCGGGGAGATGCTCGGCAGAACCCCCAGGGGCGCTAACCGCGCGCAGGAACCCCCGGAGTCGCTGCCAGGGTCTGCAACGTCCCCCTTTCGCTCCCTTCCCGCGGGGTGCGGGCGCC